TGGAGAAGAATGTATTTTCTGCTTTTTTGAGGATGAAATTCCCTATATGTATCTATTAAAACCCTCTCTTGCATTTCTTCCTTCAAAGAAAGTATTTCCTTATTGAGCTTTTAGTTTACCAAGAGTTGATAGAGGTGTTGAAGTCTCCAACTAACTGTTGTGTTGATGTCACTTTCTTCAAGTTTATTGTTTTAAGTATTTTTTTTTGGGGGGGGGCGGTCATACCCGGCGATGCTCAGGGGTTACTCCTGGCTTTGCACTCAGGAATCACGCCTGATGGTGCTTGGGGAAACATATGGGATGCTGGGAATTGGAACTGGGTCAGCCGCCTGCAAGGCAAATACCCTACCCGCTGTACTATTGCTCCAGCCCCCAAGTTCTTCTTGATGTATGTGTCCCTTGATCATTAAGAAATGACATTTTGCTATTCCTTATCACCTTTTTCAGCCTGAAGTTTATATCACCTGACACTAGTATAACCAACCAGTCCTTTTTGAGGTGGTTGTGTGTGTGAAGAACTGTCTTTGGCTTTGAGTGTGTGTTTGCTCTATTCAAATGTGTTTCTTTTTTTTGCTTTTTGGGTCACACCTGGCATTGCACATGGGATACTCCTGGCCCATGCACTCAGGAATTACTCCTGGAAGTGCTTAGGGGACCATATGAAATGCTGGGAACCCACCCCGGGTCGGCCACGTGCAAGGCAAAAATGCCCTACCTGCTGTGCTATCGCTCCAGCCCCTTAAGGTTTTTTTCCATCTTTTGCTGCTGTCTGGAGGTTTTCTGCACCTCATCTTGGAGCTCAATGAATCTGTCCTCAGCAGCTGTCATTCTGCTGGTGAGGCCTTGCAGTGAGTTTTTCATTTCGCCTACCAGATTTTTCAGTTCTGTCATTTCTGTTTGTAGTTTTCTCATTTCTGTTCTCATATCCTCTTGTATTTTATTGGTGGTCCATCCCATTGTTTCTTTGAATTTTTTTTTCCCTTTTTGGGTCACACCCAGCAATGCTCAGGGGTTACTCCTGGCTTTGCACTCAGGAATTACTCCTGGCGGTGCTCAGGGGACCATATGGGATGCTAGGAATCAAACCTGGGTCAACCGCGTGCAAGGCAAACGCCCTACCCGCTGTGCTATCAGCCCCGGCAATTTTTTTTTTTTTTAAAGAAATGAAGTTTATAGTTTTATGTTGTTTGTATTACCTGGGATCAAACCCAGGGCTTTATCTCTCAAGGGTCGGGCTCCATTTACGGAAAATGTCTCTAGCCCCCAAAATTCACAGTTGGGTGGCAGCCACACCCGACAGTGCTCTGGGACTTGGCTCTGTCAGTGCTCAGGGGACCTATGGCCATAATCACATGCCGTGTAAGCATCTTGATTATTGTACTATCTGTTTGGCTCCCGCACTTCACAATTTTGGGGGGGAGGCAGGGCAGGAGGCCACACCTGGCAATGCAGAGTAGTTATTTCTGGGTCTGTGTTCAGGAATCACTCCTGGCGGTGCTTAAGGGACCATATGGGATGTTGGGGATTGAACCCGGATTGGCTGCTTACAAGGCAAATAATACAGCAATTATCTGCTGTATTATTGCTCTGACCCCTAAACCATACAGTTTAAGAGTGATTTTTACTTCACTCTTTTATTTATTTTAATTAATTCATTTATTTTTACACTTCAGTCTTTTAAACGTCCATTCTTTAGCAGCTTGGAGTAATCACACAATAATTTTCACTTATATATGGTAAACCCAACATTTTTACAGAAATGGTGTAATTATGTTATAAATATTTGCTAACAGTGCAAATTCTAATTTTGGGATGTTGAACAGCTGGTAAGCCAGTATGTCTGTTTACATTTTTCTCAAGATATGTAATGATAAACTAAATCTTTCTAAACCAGTGCTTTCTGGTAACACCTTTTTTTTTTTTTTTTTTTTTTGCTTTTTGGGTCACACCTGGTGGTGCACAGGGGTTACTCCTGGCTCTGCACTCAAGAATTACTCCCAGTGGTGCTCAGAGGACCACATGGGATGCTGGGGATCTAACCCAGGTTGGCCTCATGCAAGGCAAACACCCTACTCACTGTACTATAGTTCCAGCCCCTGGTAGCACTTTTTTACAAAGATGAATATGCTCAGTCTAGGGGCCAAAGAGATACTACAGCAGGCAGGGCACTTGCCTTGTATGTCGCCAGCCCAAGATGATGCCTGGCAGCCCCTCTGGATGCCCAGCACTGCCAGGAGTAATCCCTGAGCATTACCAAATGTGACCTAACATATTCCCCACCTCACCACCCTCCCCCATAAAAAAGAAAGAAAGAAAGAAAGAAAGAAAGAAAGAAAGAAAGAAAGAAGGCTGAGACTAATAAAGTAGTTGTATGTCAGTTGGGCATTTGAAATACAAATAGTGCTATCATGAGGAACTGCATTTCTGATTTTAATTTCACTTTAAAGAATGATACATGGTAATAACTGTAGAATTAGATAGTGTACCTCAAGATAAAAAGAGAAACTGCAAAAGGTGTTGGGGCTGGAGCGATAGCACAGTGGGTAGGGCGTTTGCCTTGCACACAGCCAACCCAGGTTCAATTCCCAGCATCTCATATGGTCCCCTAAGCACTGCCAAGAGTAACCCCTTGTGCATCGCTGGGAGTGACCCAAAAAGGAAAAAAAAAGGTGTTGTGATAGCTAAGTATTTCCGCTGCTAGAGCTTAAACACTTGGTAGTTCATAGAGCCAGCATATTAAGTATGTTGAAGGTATCACTTAACCATGTACATTGCCATTTTAAATTCCTGCTTGTTTCGTTCTAAAGTGGTTGTCACAAAAATAATTAAAAGGTAAAGGTAAAGGCCCTCCCGTTGATCGTCGATTTGCTCGAGCGGGCCCAGTAACGTCTCCATTGGAGACTTTGTTGTTACTGTGTCAGGCATATCGAATACTCTCGGTAGCTTGCCGGGCTCTCCGAGAGGGGCGGAGGAATCGAACTCGGGTCGGCCATGTTGGCCGCTTGTAAGGCGAACGCCCTACCCGCTGTGCTATCGCTCCAGCCCCAACAATTGTGGCATTTAGGAGAAGAGAAATAAAAGTAGTGTCATACTTTTTGGGGGCCACATCCAGTTGTGCTCAGGATCTACTCCTGGCTCTGCACTCATGGGTCTCTCTTAGTGGTACTTGGGGGACCATATGGGGTGCCAGGTATTGAGCTCAGGTTGGTTGGCCGCAAGTAAGGCATACGCACTGCCCACCGTACTATATCTCAGACTCTCAGTGTCATCCTTCTGACACCCAGTTGAAAACTTCATGGATCACAGAATTTTTCTTTCTTTCTTTCTTTCTTTCTTTATTTATTTATTTAATTTTGCTTTTTGGGCCACACCCGGCTATGCACAGGGGTTACTCCTGGCTTTGCACTCAGGAGTTACTCCTGGTGGTGCTCAGGGGACCAAATGGGATGCTGGGAATTGAACCCGGGTTTGACTGCATGCAAGGCAAACGCCCTACCGGCTGTTCTATCACTCCAGCCCCCAGAATTTTCCTTTAAAGGTAAATAAATTATTAATTTATTATTCTGCAGTGTTCAGGGCTTATTCCTGTCTCTGAGCTCGGGGGTCACTCCCTGGTGGTACTTGGAGGACTATTTGGGATGCCAGCAATCAAACCGAGATTGGTCTATATAAATAAAAATTTTAGGGTTTTGGGGCTGGAGCAATAGCACAGCGGGTAGGGCATTTGCCTTGCACATGGCCAACCCAGGTTCAATTCCCAGCATCCCATATGGTTCCCCAAGCACCACCAGGAGTAATTCCTGAGTGAAGAGCCAGGAGTAACCCCAGTGCATTGCCGGGTGTGACCCAAAAAGAAAAAAAAAGCTTTAGGCTATTACCATGGTATTAATTAAAATGTCCTTTATTTGATGCCTTTTTTATAGTAGGTGCCTTTTCTCGTTGCTTTTTATAGAAGTTCTTAGTTCCATCTTGCAATAGAATCTGGTATTAATTTTGAAAAGAGAACCCGTATTGGAAAAATGTTTAAAATAATTGTTTCTAGGTAATTCTGAATGCGAAGGGGGTAGACCAAATATCATTAGGAATGGTCCTGACCCCTGAGCATCGCTGAAGATGCCCCTTCCCCTACAAATGTTTAGATCATTTAAAATTGTTCATTAGAATCATGTCTTCAGATAACTGCTTGTGTATGTGCCTGTGTGCCACATCCATTTATTGATGTATCACTATAGCCCTTTGAACTATCTCCCCAACCCCAGACTACTCATTTTTGTCAGTAAATTTGAAAAAATACCAGAGGGACCAGAGTTGATAGTATAGCAGGTAGGGTGTTTGCCTTCATATGGCCAACCCAGATTTATTTTTTTTATTTTTTAAATTTTTTGGCTTTTTGGGTCATACCCAACAGTGCTCATGGATTAATCCTGGGTCTGCACTCAGGAATTACTTCTGGTGGTGCTTGGGACCATATGGGATGTCGAGAAGTGAACCTGGGTCAACCACATGCAAAGCACATGCCCTACTCGCTATACTACTGCTCTGGCCCCAAACCCAGGTTTAATTCTGGCATCCAATATAATACCCCCAGCCCCAAGAGAAGTGATTCCTAAGTACAGAGCCATAAGTAATCATTGAGTACTATTAGGTATAGCCCCTAAAAGTGAACAAAACAACAAAAATAATTATTAGGGGCCAGAGTGATAGTACAGCAGATAGAGAATTTTAAATTACCTTACACACAGCCAACTGGTCTTGAATACCTAGCAACCCATATGGTCCACCCGTGCACTGCCAGGAGTAACTTCTGATTGCAGAGCCAATTGTGACCCCTGAGCATCACCGGGTGTGACCCAAAAAGTAAAAAGTAATAATTATTATAACAACTTTATTGTTTAACTGTCTTAAAATAAGATAATCTATATTCAGCTTATTGATATTACAGAACTATTGATAATGTTTTAGGGTTTTTCACCTAATTTTCTCACATTTTGCTCTTGTAGGTAATTCTAACTAATCAGATGACAACAAAAATTGATAAAAACCAAGCCTTGCTGGTTCCTGCATTGGGTGGGTATTAGATAAAAAAATTTTAGTTAAACATTTATTGTGCCTACTGTATCTGAACTATTGAATCAGGTCCTGAGCATATATATCCTAAAATGACTCTTGCCTTCAGAAAGCTTACAATTTTAGTCAGGAGGAAAAACAAATCACAAAGACAAATCTCAATCATGAATAAATAGATTGCAGACTCTGTTCCTAATTCAGTCATGGTTTTGTTACAGTGCATGCTTCAAGATTTATTTCTGGAGCTGGGGCAATAGAGGGTACGTCATTTGCCTTGATTGTGGCTGACCCAGGTTTGATCTCCAACAACACATATATTCCCCTAAGCCCACCAGGTGTCATCCCTGGAGATGTTGAAGATGTTAAAGGCTAGATGTTGAGGATGAGAAAGTCAGGACTAGATGCTGAGGACTGGATGCTGAGGATGAGATGTTGAAGATGTTGGGAACTAGATGATGAACTAGAGATGCTGAGGACTAGACATTGAGGATGAGAAGGTCAGTGACAAAGATGAGGAAGAGAACTGAAACTTTGGAGACTTTGGGACTAGAAGGAGAACCAGATGACAACGATGATTAGAAGTAGAGGACTATGAGACTACATTGAGATGAGGAGGAGGATATAATGAAGGAGAGGACTTTGATGGAGGAGACTAGGATGATGGGGACTACGACCAAAACTACAACTATGACTGTGATGACCGGGACTACGACCAAAACTACAACTATGACTGCGCTGTGAAGAGAGAAATCGGACTACGCCAGGAAGGAGAGAGAAATTGACTACTACTCACCAGCCTGGGGCCCAGTTCGTGTTTCTGTGTTCCCTGGTTCTCATGCATCATCTGCCCTGGGGAGACAGCTTTCAGCCACCGAATGTTTGAGTCGCCTGTGCCGCCACGCTTTTTACTTGAAAACTTACATCTGGAGTCAGAGCCAGGAGTAAGCCTCGAGCCCTGCTAAGTGTGACCTCCCCAAAAAGAAATCTAATAAATATTTATTTCTGTTAAAAATATTTTAAGAATATTGTTATATTTGCTTTTCTTATGGTGGTCAAAAAATAGATCTAAGGAGATGAAAGTTTGAAAAGTTGACTCAAACTTTATTGTTTCCTAAAAGCAAATAGATAATAATGATTAGCAAAATTTCCATTAATAAAGATCAGTTGAGCTCAGAATGTTACCCAGATACCATATTTTTGTAACGAAGTATATATATTACTTGTTTTTTTGTTTTGTTTTTGTTTTGGGTCATACCCAGCACTGCTAAGGGCTTACTCCTGGCTCTGCACACAGGGATCACTCTTGGTATTCAGTATTCAGGGGACCATTTGGGGTGCCAGGGATTAAACCGAATTTAACTGTGTACAAGGCAAATGTCCTACCTGTTGTACTATCTCTCCAGCCTCTGAACTAAATTTTGAAGCATGTATTCTACAAAACCATGATTGAAGCTAAGAACAGAGTTGGAAGTCTATTCACAATTTTTAGATTTGTCTTCAAATAATATGCTTTTCCTCTTGCCTAAAACTGTGACCCAAATTTTATGTTAAGTAAAGTAAGACTTTATAAAGTAATATTTAGTTATTTCATTCTTTTTCTCCCAGGGGAAAGTTGGGGACATGCTGCTACAATTTGGCTAATTTTTCATTGGGACCAAAAGCAAAGGTCAGTATAGAAACAGTTAAAAATTCTGAATACTGGGTTCATTACACTGGGATCTTAATGAGTTCCTTAGAGCTAGTTGAGTGAATGAGATCCACGGTGCTCACGCCTTTGTTGCCGTGTTCTTTATCACCTAGAGCAGACATGAAAACAGTTGTTATACCGCGCAGTTAGCTACTTAGGAAATTCTTTAGAATATTTAAATGATGGGGTGCACCTGAAGTGAGTAGGTGGCCAAGGAATACTACCTTCCAAAGCCCTTTGAAATCAAATACAATGTATTGGCCATGCAGAAGGAGGTAGGTACTCAATGTCCCTGGAAAGGATTGAAAGAGGACTAAAGTCAGCACAAAAGGAAAACTTCTGAGATTAGCTTTAGGACTTAATTTTGTGGAAAATAGGAAAAGTTGCTTAATATATTTCTTCTATGAAATTATGTCTATTTTTGTTTTCTTTTGTATTTTCCTGTCCTGCTTTTGTTATCCTGTTCTTACCTGCCTTTCACAGCATTGTTCTTTAAAATAAAACTATGCAGCATGAAATCTTTGTACTTGTCTTTAAGACTGCTGAGCAAGTGAACAACCAGTTTTCATTTTCTCCAAAATAGGCAGTTGAAAGCTCTGAGATCTTTTATTCAACACTTACAGAAATGTCAAATTGACTCTGGCCTCTCTACTTTGAGATTAATGGTATAACCTAGAGAACTTGGTTTGGAAATGCAGTAATAGAAGGAAGAAATTAAGACATCACTGATAAAGATGCAAAGTTCCTTTTGAAAATTTTTGGTTTGGGGGCCATACCCAACAAAGCTGAGGGGTATTCCTGGCTTCGTACTCAGTGCTCACTGAAGATAGAAACCCCAGTTTTTACATGCAAAGCATACCCTCAGCCCTTTGAGACATCTTTCTGACCCGAAAAATAGTTCTTTCTGGGATGGAGGCATGGTTTGGGCCGTACCTGGTGTCTGGAGCTACTCCTGGCTCTGTGCTTAGAGGTTTCTAGTGGTGTTTGGGGTGGGGTCAGGGATCCAAGCAGGGTTTTTTAACCCCTGTATCCTCTTTCTAACGCTGAAAAAAAAAAAACATTTTTTTTCCTCTGTTAAGAAGTTTGAGGTTATTTTTTTTTCCAAGTGGATTAACTTTTTTTTCAAAAATTATTATCTTTTGTGTAGGTATATATATATTTTAAATAGTATGAATCATTCTGGATGGAGCAATAGCACAGCAAGTAGGGCGTTTGCCTTGCACACAGTTGACCCAGGTTCGATTCCTCCCTCCCTCTTGGAGAGCGCGGAAAGCTACTGAGATTATCCTGCCCGCATGGCAGAGCCTGGCAAGCTCCCCACGGCGTATCCAATATGCCAAAAACAGTAACAACAAGTCTCGCAATGGAGACGTTACTGCTCAAGCAAATCGATGAACAACAGGAAGGCAGTGCTAGAGTGCTATGATCATTCTGTGATAATACATTTAACTTTGTATGAAATAGATAGCACTGTGAAATAGATAAATCCTACAAATACACAATTTAGTAAGAGTAAGGAGAGGAGAAATAAGAAATTTTTAAGGGAAAATCTTGAATGAGCCTCTAGGTATAAAAGTGTGTTTTATCCTAGAAAGGGAATATTAACTTTATGTTACAAAGTATTTTATTATGGATAATGCTTAAATACATGCATTAGTAAAAGATTCAACTAAAATTCTCTGTAGATGTAACAAATTTACATAGACATGCCAAAGCAACAGCAGCTCATGCACTTGCCTTGTGTGCGGCCAACCCATATTTGATCCCTGGCATCCTATATGGTCTCCAAGCCCTCCCTTAAGTGAGCCCTGAGGAGAGTCAGGAGTAAGCCCTTAACTCCACAGGGTGTTGCCCCAAAACCAAAACTAATAAAATCTACCATAAAAACATTCAATATAAATGTAAAGCATTTCAATATAAAGGAAACATTAGGTGGTGGTTTTTTTTCTGGGGGGGGGGTGGTTTGGATTTTGACCCACAGCCAGCAATGCTGAGGGCTTATATCTGGCTGTGCATCCAATCACTCCTGGTGGGACTCAGAATCATGGGGTGCTGGGGTTTGAACCTGGGTCAGCTGTGAAGGCAAGAGTCCTACCTGCTGTACTATTGCTCTGGCCCCTGAATGGTAGCTTTTAAATGTATATTGGATCTGGCCAGTGATATAAATTATTTCTTTGTATTTCTTTGTTCTTCTACAAACAAAAAATATGCCCGAACAAATTAGATTGAATTTATTCTTACCGTAGTGTTTCTTGGGGAGGAAGATTGTTTGCGGTCACACCTGGTGGTCTCAGGAGCTGCTACCAGATCTGTGATTAGGGATCACTCCTGGTGGTGCTCAGGGGACCATATGGAGTGCCATGGATCAAACCTGCGTAAGGTCCTGTGCAAGGCAAGTGGTTTACCTGCTGTACTCGTCTCTGGCACCCAAAGCAAGCACCTTTACCCTGTATGCTCCTCCCCCCCCATCAATGACACACTTTTGCAGCTAATACATTTCTTGTTTCTTCCTTTTCCCCACACCTCACAGATTTTTTTTTTTTTAAATTGAATCATTGTGAGATACACAGTTACAAAATTGTTCAAGGTTGGGTTTCAGTCATATAGTGTTCAAATACCAGTGCACATTTCCCACTCTTTCTTGTTTATTGTATTTTTTCTGACTTTTGGGCCACACCTGAAGATGCTCAGAAATCACCCCTGATGGGGCTTAAGGGACTATATGGAGTGCTGGGAATCCAGCCTGGGTCAGCTGCATGCAAGGCAAACACCAGATCCACTGTACTATCTCTCCAACCTTAGCAACAAATACATTTTAAGAGCTACCTGTTAGAGAGGTAGGGTAATTACCTACTCCCTGTATTTCCACATAATACATAATGCTTTATAATTGAGTCCCATCCATAATACTCTAAATCATTGTATACTGGGTTCAGTAAAATAATTATTTCCTCAACAACAAATCTTAGTGAAAGGATTTGACTATAATTGTTCTCTCTGAGAATTGTTTGAACTTATTGTTCTGTTTTCATAAATTTCAGTTTTCCATCAAGTGCATTTTACTTTTTAAATGTTCTTAGGAAGGGGCTAGAGGGGCTTGCCTTGCATGCAACAGACTTAGGTTTGATATCCAGCACCCCTTATTGTTACTTGAGACCCACCAGGAGTGATCCTTGAGCACTGAGCCAGGAGTAACCCCAAAGTACTGCTGGGTGTGGTCCAAAAACCAACAACAGAAATAATAAATAAATGTTCTTAGGAGGGACAGACTGAAGAGGTAGTACATCAGGAAGGGCACTGCCTTGCATGGGGGCTGGCCTGGGATCAATCCTCAGCACTGCATAGGGTCTCTTTCCCAAGCATAGCAGGAGTGATCCCTGAGCTCAGAGCCAGGAGTAAGCCCTGAACACTGTCAGGTATGGCCCTGGAGACGAAGAAAAGAAATGTTCTTAGGAATTCTCTTTGAGCTTGTGTACATAGTAGTCTTCTCTAGACTATTAATAAATACCAATAGATTAAAACTACAAGTAATAAAAATAATAGAGGCTCAAGATGTTTATTTTATTTATCAGAAGTTTGCCACATTTGTCAGATTCTCTTGGAGGTTTTTTTTTTTTTCCTTTCCTTTTTCGCGCCACAACCAGCAATGCTCTGCACTCAGGAATTACTCCTAGTTGTGTTCGGTGTACCATATGTGATACTGGGGATTGAACTCGGGTCAGCCGTGTGTAAGGCAAACACTCCTACCCATTCTACTATCGATCTGCCCCCTTTGTCAGAAGTTAGTGCTGATTAGGTAAAAGAAAGAAAACTTTCTTTAAGAAAGTTTTCTTGAAGTTGGTGCTGATTAGGTGAAAATCAGGGCCAGAGAAAGAGTGCAGCAGATCAGGCACTTGCTTTGCAATTAGCCAACCCAAATTCTATTCTGCATCCAATAATGGTCTCCCAGACCCTGCTTCTGAGCACAGAGCCAGAATACAGCCAGGATTCTCCCTTCCACCCCCTTCCAAAAAAGGTCTTTCTTACCTCCTTTTGGCGGGGAAGGGTGGTAAGTTTGGATCACACTGTGCAATATTTAAGGGAACTCCTAGCTCAGTGCCAGGGAGTCATTCCTAGAGGTTGTGGGGGACCGTATGTTGCAGGGGCTGAATCCAGGCCTCCTGCTTACACAGCATGAATTCTCAGTCCTTTGAGCTGTTTCTCTAGAGCTTACTTTTTATTCACAGAAGTAGCATTAGTGATAATATATATGTGCGTGTTTTGTTGCCACACCCAGCAGTGCTTAGGGGTTTATTCCTGGCTGCCCTCAGGAATCACTCCTCCTGGGCTCTGAGGGTACAGTATTTACTGCCAGGAATTGAACCCAAGTTGACTGCATTAAAACTGATTGAACCAAGTTGACTGCTTGCAAGACAAGGATCTAAACCACTGTACTATCTCTCTGAACCTTACATGTGTACTTTTTATGAGTTAATGGTTTTAATCAGCTTTTTTTTTTTTTTTAAATCAGTAGGGCTTCGGGGGGGATGGAGGTTGAGTCACACCCAGCACTATACTGTGGACCTTGTGGTCCAGTTACTGAACCAGTGTTGGCTGGCATGAAAGTCAAGTACCTTAACTCTTTTATAGTATCTCTGTCTGACCTCATCTTCTTTACTAATTCTTCCCTGCAAGGCAAGCACCCTACCCATTGTATTATCTCTCTAGTCGCTAATTTTTATATTTTATCTGTAGGAGATACAATTGGCAGTGTTCAGGGCTTGTTCCTGGCTCTTTGCTCAGGAATCACTCCTGTTAGTACTTGCACGACCATATGCAGTACTACTGAGAATTGAACCAGGTCATCTGTGTGTAGGGCAAGTGCCTTACCCATTGTACTGTCTCTCTGGCCGATCACATATTCTCTTTAATAACTCTTGAAGAATTAATACTTAATATCATTAATTATGAAAAAAAACTAAGACTCAGAAATACTATGTAGTAATAGCTTTCATTTATTGAATATTTACCAACTGTCCTTTATTATGCTAAGCACTTAGTATTAATGAAAGATTTAAAAAATAATGTGTTAAGTATATAGCTACAGATTGTATGTATATATTGTTTCATCAGATTTTCTAAACTATAAGATTGGTGGTAGTATCTATATTTTATAGCTGACTGTAATTAGAGTCTTATTTTTTTCCTTACAACTGCTGTTTTTAGAATGTAATTATAGTTTTGCATTGATTGCCAGGAAATTTGAAGGCATGGCTCTTATCCTTTTTAGGTAAAATTCTTTTTCTTAAGGCTATTTTTGTTCCAGCCTATGGATATACAATAAATAAGATGCATAATTTATTATTGTCAGAATAACTTGAACTTGTCTAAGAAAATGAAAATAGGGGCTGGAGAAATGGTATAGCAGGTAGGGTTTTTGCCTTCTATGCAGCTAACCAGGTTTGGTCACCCAGATGGTCCCCTAAGCCCTGCCATGATTGATCCCTGAGTGCAGAGCCAGGGGTAAATCCTGAGCACAGCCAGTGTTGCCTCAAAATCAATGACAATAACAAAAATAGAATGAAAATAGTGTTGTTCTTCATTATTTAAAATCACATATCTGTAATTCATTAGTGTGCCATGAAATCTTGCATTATAAAATTCACTTATCATGAAAGGTTGTAAATACAGCCACAATGGGAGAGAATAGTTATGAACGTTAATACTTTTACTTTAAGCAAAAATCTGTACTAGCCAAGTTTATAATCAAAGTAGATTAAGTGTCGTGTTTAATTTCTCATTCTCCATTCTTCTTCAGGAACATCTGATTTTTGTCCTTTAATAATGGAATGACATTCTAACAGTTAAAAAAAATACGTTTGTCTCTGTCCTATATATTGTGTGGGTTTTCCTGCCATTTGCATATTCATAAAATCTGAAGCTGAGATTGTTCAGAATTATACCACTATTTGCCAAGAAGATCTGGTGGTGGAGTGGAGTAATACAGCAACACCCCCACACAGTGTTTCGTATGTGTGCTCAGCTTCAGAGCACAAATTGTGCTTGCTTCTGCCTTGTTTCTTCCTGACCCAAACTATGGAGTTCAGCCATATGTTAAGCTGCTTCTCAGCGAGGGACAGGAGCCAAATGCTTCTTTGCTTTATTTTGTTGTTGAAGAGGTCTCTGGGCTAGACGCAAAATATAAAATTTAATTTTTACCTAGAAATTGGAGAAGCTTCCATCTGCGTACTTAATGCACTTTTGACTTTAGGATTCTTTTTTTCTGTTTTGTTTTCTTTTCTGTTTCTGACTTTTGGCGCACGCCCAACAGTGATTAGATGCTTCTTCTGACTTTAGTGTTCAGAGGCTGTACTCAAGAGTACCATGGGATGCTGGGTCCCACATGACTTTGTGCTCAGGAATGTTCTCTGGTGGTGTTTGGTGGACCATAATGCGGTGCTAGGGTCAGCTGCATGCAAGTCTTAAACCCTACATAGCTCAGCAGCCCTAAATGATTTCTTTTTAAAAGATTTATTTTTAAGAAAAGATTTATTTCCTCTGGGCTTTTAAAAAAGATTTGTTTACTTTTTTTTTCTCGGAAAAGTCAGATACAGTGGGAGTCATTTTGAATATATGGTAATGATATAGGTGATTTAGATACTAATTATTCAGAAGCTCAGTTAATATTTGCTTTATTGAGTGAAAAAGGATGATTTTCTGGCCTGGAAAGTTCATGCTTTGCATGTGGGAGGCTAGGCTCCAGTGCACTGCACGATTTGGTTCCCCAAGCACAGCTGGAATGACTCCCAGGCCAGGGGTAGCCTGAAGACTTCTGGGTACAGTCTCCCCAAAATGTGATTGTCTAATAAAATAGGTTAATATATACTAACCCTCGTTTTACTGCTACATTTTGCCAGAAAATTAGAATACTAATCTTAATGTACTGGAATAGTACAGGGGTTAGTGCACCCCACTCTAGTTCAATCCCCAATATTGATGGTCTCCTGAGTATAGCTTTGAAGGCTTTCAGCACTGCTGGGATTAGCCCTGTGGTCCTGAACTCTGCCCAGATGGCCCTGGTGATCCCCAGCAGCACTGCATTTTCAGGCACCCTCACCAAGTGCCCTTACCACCACCCCACCCTCATCATCAAACCAGCTGGCTGACAATCTTTGGCAATGGCTTTGCCCCCTAGAGCACCACTGGGAAATTCCCCCTATCCCAGACAAACTTAAAAAAATAATAATAATAGTTTTAGCCCCTGACACTGCTGTTCTACTATGTATTACTTTTTTGTTTGTTTTTTGTTTTGGAGCCACACTCAGCCGAACTCAGAACTTACTCCTGGGTTGGTGCTCAGGGGTTGTGCTTGGGCGACTATTTATGTGGTACTATGGGTAGAAGCCGGGCTGGCCACAAGCAAGGCAAATGCGTTAACTTCTGTATTATCTCTTTGGTCCTACTGTGTATTTGGTCCTGCTGTGTATTACATAGTCATTATTTTATTTACACATGCAGTTGGAGTTAATCTAATATGTGACTTTTTGTGTTCTCCTGGTTTTATCCTCAGAATACAGACTTCTAATAATAAAGTGGGACCAGAGCAATAGTACAGCAGGTAGTGCATTTACCTTGCACTCGACCAACCTGGAATCAGTTTCCAGCATCCCATATGGTCCCCTGAGCACTGCCAGGTATATTTCCTGAGTACTGAGCCAGGAGTATCCCTGAGCATCGCTGGGTATGACCCAAAATGTGCAAAAAACAAAACAAAACACCAAACAACAGAAAACCAATTAAAGTAATGAATGGTGGTCTGTGATAGCTTCACTGTAGAATGTGCTTGAGTAGAAAGTTTGAAAAATAAAGTTAAAACAGCATTTTTTGTTATTTATCTTATAATAAAAATTTAACCTTTTGGTTGCAGTCTTTTTGTAATTTATATAGAGATAAATATAAGATCATGCAGCATTTAACTTTTGCTTAATATTGTTTTCCTATAAATAAATTCCAAATCAGAAAAAAAAATTTTAAAAAATTGTTTTCCTGTTAAATGTTTTCTTAAATTTTATTTTGTAAGTACGAATAGAATCTGTTCATGTATAAAGTAATTTTTATGAATCACTCATTGAACTTTTCACGTTGCTATAAAATTGTATTCCTGTAAATAGCTATTAAAGTAATTATTACATGCATAAAGATAGTTATTGTTTTAGTGAATATTTTTTTGAAGATATTGCACTGTAGCACTGTCCTCCCATTGTTCATTGATTTGCTCAAGCGGGCCCAGTAACATCTCCATTGTGAGACTTCTTGTTACTGTGTTTGGCATATTGAATACGTCACAGGTAGCTTGCCAGGCTTTGCCGTGCAGGTGAGATACTCTCTGTAGCTTGCCGGGCTCTCCGAGAGGGGTGGAGGTATCAAAGAATATTTGATTTTTTTTCTTTCTGTGTTTTACAGAAAAACAATAGAGTTATAGTAAAAAATAATACATTTAAGTTCTGAAATAAATTATCTGGTGCAATAATTTGTTTGTCCTTTTTTTTTTTCCCCTCCAACCAGGTTGGCAACTTTGTACAAATCACCAAGTCAGAAGGAAACTACAGTGCTGTTTCAAATCACAGTCAGTATTATTTGATTAGAGCGGGATTTTGGTGTTGGTGGGCAGTAATTATCTGAAGAGAGCATTTACAAATTGATTCTGTTAACTTCTGTAGGCAGCAAACATATTTCAGGACAGCTTTTGATGCTTAGAACATTATCCTCAAAATAGTAGTATACAGAGAGAATATTCTAGTCACAATTGGACTGAAACGAATTCTTAAGAACAGAGGAAATATTTGTAGGGTAGTGTGTTCTAGCCCATATGTGATGTCAGGCTATTAAAAGGATCTCTTAGTGGGGGCGGGGGTTGCGGGAGGACACATAACTTGTCTGCACTCAAACTTACTCCTTGCTCTGTGCTCAGGGATCATTCCTGGCAGTGTGTGAGGCAGGTACCTTAACTATTAAGATCCAGGATAAAGGTTTTGTTTGGTTTGGTTGGTTTTGGATTGCTTCTGGCTGTGCTCTCTATCTGGATGCTTGGAATTGAACTTGAGCTGACTGCAAAGCAAGCACTGTACTCACTGTGCAGTATAGGGATGGAACCTGGTCAGCTGCATGCTAGGCAAAGCACATTATCTATTGTACTACCTCTTCGGCCCTAACCTTAGAAATTTTTAAGGAGACTGGGGATTGGCTCAAAGAGCCAGAGCACATGCTTGGATCCGCAGCACCTCATGACCCCCTGAGGATAGTTCCCTGGATTCTTGGAGTAGTCCCCAGCACCACAGAGTACAATGCAAAAAAAAGCAAAAACATTCTAATTTTTGTTATTTTTTTTCTTGGGAGGTGGTGTTGATGCTTTTGTTATTTTGTTTTTTTGTTTGGTTAAAAGTATACCTTACCTGTTGTACTTTTTTTTTTTTTTTTAATGAATCACCGTGAGATAGAGTTACAGACTTACAAACTTTTGTGCTTAAGTTTCCGTCATACAGTGATCGAGTACCCATCCCTCCACCCCTCCACTGATGCCCATTTTCTACCACCAACCTTTTGTACATTTAACATTTAAAAATGTTAGCTTTTCAGCAATTTGGGGGCTGGAGAGGTAGTTCACTGGGTAAAACTCTTGCCTTATTTATGTCTACACCTGCCTCTGCTCTGTGGATCATACTATAACTAGGGCATCCAGCATACAATGCCGTGCCCAGGGCCTGGAGCGATAGTACGGCAGTTAGGACGCTTGCCTTGCACATGGCTGACGCAGATTCTAACCCTAGCATCCCATATGGTTCCCCGAGCCCTGCTTGGAGTAATTTCTGAGCGAAGAGCCACTGGTAAGCTCTGAGCACCACCAGGTGTGGTCCATTAAAAAAAAAAAAAGCATGCGCTCAGCCCATCGAGCTATCTCTGGCCCAATAGTTATATTTTTGTCTGAAAAATACATATTTATCAATACTGCTGAGCAAATATATTCTTGAGTATTCTCTTTTTTTGCAGGGGGTGAGGGGATCTCATTCTTTCAAGACGAAATCCAAAACAGACCTAGGGAGATAAATCAAAGGGCTAGAGTGACTGGGTTTGATCTTTGGCACCTCATTGCCGTCTCAGTACTGCTGGGATTGATTTCCAAGTGGCAAGTTGTCTTTGATAATTTCTGAACCAAGAATAAAGCAGTTCTTTTTATTAGTTACTTAAAAATATTTAATAGATATGTTATTTTAGTTGTTCTTATGACATGTATGGTTTTTTTTTTTTAATCTTGCAGCCTCAAGGATTTAGGGATGCTGTTGTTTCTGCATGTTCATCGCAAACAGAAGGTTTGTTGAGTTCCCGGAAACGGTCACGAGAATCAGAATAAGAAGAGGATCCAAAGATTATTGTCAAAGTATGCATGTGTTCATGTTCTGAGTTGTAGTCTTTACAAATAGTAAATTCATGCTATTGTGTGTGTTTATATTTTAAAGTGATGAATAAAGCATGGGCCGGGGCGACAGTACAGCTTGTAGGGCATTTGCCTTGCATGCAGCCAACCTGGGTCCATCCCCAGCGTCCTAAATGATCCCCGAGCACCACCTGGTGTTGTTCCCCAGTGCAGGGCTAGGAGTAACCCCTGAGCATTGCTGGACATTACCCAAAAACCAAAAAAATAATCAGATGAAGTAAGTGGGAAGAACACTGAAATGCTTTATTGTAAAAGTTATTAAAAGCAATATTCTGCAGTTATGTTTTGCCCTATTTTAATTTCCAATAACATTCATTAAGGATGTTGTAGGTATTGTAAATTTTGCTATTCTGGAAAGGTTCATCTCCTGGGGCAAGTCTGAATTTCACATTTATACTGTGTTTTCCTCTTTTCTTTGGCAGTTTCCTAAAAAATGCTAGGAAGAAAGGATTATTTTTTCACATTTCTATTGTGTTATCTTTGTGCAATTGTACTCTGTTTACTTGAATATATACACTTACATTCTTAAACACATCCCTTTTTTTGTTTCTTGGGACACATGCAGTTGAACTCTGGACTTACTTCTGGCTGTGCCCTCAGGGGTCACTCCTGGTTCAGGGGACCATATGGGGTGCCAGGGATCAAACCTGGGTCCATCACGTACAAGGCAAGTGCCCTACCCACTGGACTATCACTCCAGCACTGAAAACGTGACCCATTTTTTGTTAGAGATGTTGGAAAGGTAGAACTTGCCTTACATGTGAGAAGTTCTGTGTTCGATCCCTGGCACTGCAGAAATAAAAAAATATCACTCATTTTTTGTTATCAGGAAATGCTAGCATGATTAGTCAGCATATTGTTATATTCAATTTAAGAGTATAATTCAAATTTTAGGTGACTGGACCAATTTTAGTGTCTCAGTTCTTAAAATCTAAGCCCCTTAATATTTTGTTTGGATATTTTATAATTTGAAGTTTTTTAATTCCATTTAGAAATTGTTTTGAACATAGACCTTCTAGTGTAGGTTGATAAGCTCGGTTTTTTATTTCTACGTTTTTAAAACATGATTATTGAACAATTCTAAATATATTGATATTTTTTGTTTGAACATATCAAACATTAACACTACTTAAATCAATTATTTTTGGACTGTTCTAGTTTGAGGAATTAAATCCAGGACCTCATGCATGTGAGGTATGTGCTTTACCACTGAGCCACATTCCTGACCCTGAATTTTTTTGTTTTGTTTTGAGGCCACACCCAGCTGTGCTCAGGGGTTACTCCTGGCCCAGTGCTCAGGAATCACTCCTGGCAGTGCTCAAGGGACCATATGGAATGCTGGAGATCGAACCCAGGTCGGCCATTTACAAGGCAAGCACCTACCCTGCTGTACTATCACTCCAGCCCTTGGCCTTGGATTTGTTATTTCCTTACTACAAATTCCCATATCTGAGGTGGAAGTATTGAAGCATATATATCTTTCCTATTCCTCTTGGTACCTTTTATCTTTTGTTACGGCATCTCCTTATATAATTCTGAGGTCCCCTTATCAATAGTTTGGATTCTTGGATATTTCAGTATCATCTGAAAACTTCATGGCACCAGCTTCCTTTTAGTACTTCTCAAATAAAGATATTTTGATTTCCAGCAATAGAAAATTATTTAAATTATTGGATAGTAAATACTGTGACAATATTATTTTCCAGATTTTAGTGATAGTAGCATTTTCTGTCCCAGAATTATTGTTCTGTAATTGATTGTACTAGAAAAACCAAAATTTATCAGGGCTTTAATAGAATGAAAGTAGGCACTGCTAGCAGTTATACTGGGATAGTGGACATAAACTCAACTATCATAGAGAAATTAGGTAGGTGATTCTTCTAATCATCTAAGACTAATTTGAGAAAACCACTAAAGGACAGGATACAGTATTTAAATGTTTTTTTTTTCTGAGGGCTTTAAAGTACATACTTTTAAATTATAATTAGTGTAGTCATTGTAAAACACAATTAGTGTAATTTTATATTGTGTCTGTTTATAACATAGCATAATATCTGCAGAGAGTGTTGAAAGTGATAAGTTGTCGATATTAGCTGACCTTCAGTAAATAGGATCTCATTTTATAAAGTATTTTATAAAACACTGCTTTGATTCTATATGTAAATGAAGTCTATTTATTTTTTATATTCATCTTTAAATAAACATTATTTAACAGCCTTTCAAATTTATTGCTATTTTTTTAGATTTTTTTGTTTGTTTGTTTGTGAGTAACACCCGGTGTTACTCAGGAATTACTCCTGACTCTATACTCAGAAATTACTCTTGGGGCTGGAGCAATAGCACAGTGGGTAGGGCGTTTGCCTTGCACGTGGCTGACCTGGGTTCGATTCCCAGCATCCCATTACTCCTGGAGGTGCAGGTCCCCCGAGCACCTCCAGGTGTAATTCCTGAGTGCATGAGCCAGGAGTAACCCCTGTGCTTCGCTGGGTGTGACCCAAAAAGCAAAAGAAAAAAAGAAATTACTCCTGGCTCTATGTTCAAGGGACCATATGTGGTGCCAGGGACCAAACCTGGGTCAGCTGTGGCAAAGCAAGTGCCCTACTCTGCTGTACTCTCTCCAGTCCCTAAAATACTTATTTTTCTAGTTACAATTGTACACTTACATCTCAGTCCCTTTGGAGTGTCATAACAAAGTACCATAGATGTGAATAAGAGAATTTTCTCACTGGAGTCTAGAAGGTAAGATCAGAGTGCCAGCATGGTGTGGTTCTGGGGAGGCCTTTATTCCTGGCTTACAGAAAGCCTCTGCTGTGTGTGAGGAATTTCCTTGGTGAATGTTCTTAGAGAGAGATCTTTCTTTTTTGCAGGGTGAGAAGTGGTGTAAAGAGATTCCCAAGCAGTGTTGAGGGTAAGGACCCGGGGGCTAAATGGGATGAGCGATGTAGTGCCAGGAACCAAGAATATGGAGTTGGACTCACAAATGAATCTTGGAACCTAGCAGCTCGCTGCAGGGATGGCTGCAGACCAAGTGCCAGGCTGATTTCACTAAGGCACCTCAGATGGGGTCAGATGTCCTCTCTCTCCACCTCGCCAGATGAACCCCAGCAGCCCCCAACCTCCAGAAACCAATTGCTGCTGCCCTCATGGCCAGTATTCACAGACTTGTCCTGCCCCTCCCCTCCCCAATCACACACACACAAGAGAATCCGCTGAAAAACTCAGGTATGTGGGACACAGATTGAAAAACCCAGGCCTCAAGGGGTCAGGTCTGGGCTGTCTCTTCCCATCCATCTCCCTGCCTTTCTGGGGTCCTGTGGTCCTGGCTGTCACGCCCATGAACTGCCTCCAGGTACCATTTAAGCACATTAACGGCCATGATCCAGAGACTCACAGATGAATCTTGGAACCGAGCAGCTCGCTGCAGAGATGGCTCTGGATCCCAATTATTTTAATTTTTAGAATCCCAGGAGTTCACAGCTGCACAATCTGCCGCATATATCTCGTTTATTTTCTTTTTGCTTTTTTGTTGAATCACTGTGAGATAGACCCTTACAGACATCTCATACTATTCATAACAGACAATACAAAATAAATTATCTTGCTTCTGCCTATGGGGCAAGTTTGAGAGGTGGTGGGAAATGTCAAAATAATGGTGGTGGGAAAGATGTACTGGTGGTGGGATTGGTGCTGACATATTGACTGTAATCAATTATTGTGAAACAACTTCATGAAAATAAAATTTAAAAATTAAAAAAAGAGAAGAATGTGGAGCTGTTTTCATCTTTGCACCAGTGCCTGGACCACCAGGGCCCGCTGGCAGTGTTTGGTGCACCTCTTGGGCCTCAGTCAGTTGTGTTGGGTGGGGGGGGGGGGGCTCTGGATCTATACCTGGCAGTGCTCAGGGACTGTGCAGTGTTGGGGTTCAGGTTGAGGTCTGAGTTATCTTCCCCAATCCTTTTTATCCTTTTATGAAACCATCAATCTTATCAAATTAGAATCCACCCTTAATTCCCTCCTGAAAGAAAACCTTATCTCCAAACACACTCTATGTTAAGACCTCAGCTTAGAATTTTGGGAGACACATTGCAAAGTAATTTGCTCCTTGCCTCCCCCAAATCCTCAAATACAATATGCATGCATTCCATCTCCACAGTCCTAAACTTTTAATTTTAACAAACTAACCAGTTTCAAAGCCTATTTCACACTTTTAGGAATTAACCACCCCACTTCTAAAATTTTACTTACAAAAATTTGCCTTTAGGACTGGAAAGATAATAATACAGCAGGTAGATCTCTTGATTTACACAAGGCCAACCTGGGTTCAGTCCCTGGCACCACGTGGTTCCCAAGCAATGCCAGACTAATGGTTTTGCTTCAAAACACAAATGTCTTCATTTGGGTACCCATAACAAAATACCATAAACAAGGTGCTTAAAAAAGTTAATTTTATCAGAGCCATGGGTACCAGAAGTCAAGATACTGGCATGGTTAATTTATGGTAAGAGATATCCTGATTTCCAGAAAGCTACCTTTTCACTCCAACCTCACAACAGAGAGAGTGCTCATAAACTCAAAGGCGCCTATTCATGCAAGGGCAATAACCCTGTCACAAGGGCCCTTTGCCGATGACCTCACTTAACCTTAATAAAAAAAGGTAAAGGCCCTCCCGTTGATCGTCGATTTGCTCGAGCGGGCCCAGTAACGTCTCCATTGCAGACTTTGTTGTTACTGTGTCTGGCATATCGAATACTCTCGGTAGCTTGCCGGGCTCTCCGAGAGGGGCGGAGGAATTGAACTCGGGTCGGCTTGTAAGGCGAACGCCCTACCCGCTGTGCTATCGAAATCGAAATCTTAATTACCTCTATAAAGTTCACTTCAAATACAATCATCCTAGTGCTTCAACATAAAAATTAGGGGTGACAGTCTAGGAAACTGAAAGAGTATAGGTAACAAAAAATGTACAATTAAAAATTTTTTAAAAATATTTTTTATGTTTTACATATTTTTTT